CGAGTAAAGAGCACTGGAAAGCTATTGAACGAGTCATGAGGTACCTCAAAAGGACCATGGATCTCGACCTACATTATCATAAGTTTCCTGTTGTACTAGAAGGGTACAGTGATGCAGATTGGAATACTTTGTCAGATGATTCCAAAGCTACTAATGGCTATATATTTAGCATAGCTGGAGGAGCTGTATCTTGGAAATCAAAGAAACAAACTATTCTAGCTCAGTCCACAATGGAATCTGAGATGATAGCACTAGCCACAGCTAGTGAAGAAGTAAGTTAGTTGAGATGCTTGCTAGCTGAGATCCCTTTATGGGAAAAACCTATGCCAGTTGTGTTGATCCACTGCGATAGTACTGCGGCTATTGCAAAAATTGAGAACCGTTATTATAACGTTAAAAGACGTTAAATAAGAAGGAAGCACAACACTGTTAGAGACTGTATCTCTAAAGGAGCTGTAAGAGTGGATCATATACGCACTGATGAAAATTTAGCAGATCCTTTGACGAAAGGATTAGCTGGAGAGAAAGTCCATAATACATCCAAAAGGATGGGACTAATGCCTATAAAGAAATGAGTTGCTCATAATGGTAACCCGACCTAGATGACTGGAGATCCCAAGAAATAGGTTCAATGGGTAATAACAATTTATGAGTAATATGAGATGATCATGCAAGTAAAGCATGAATCCTGAAGTAATAAGAGGATGAGATAATAGAAACTCTTAATGAGATCTATACTCTGTATGAGGGAGTACGTAGGCTACAAGAGTACTCTTGATAGACTCACCTATGTGACTGTGGAACTTAGGCCGGTTCCTATGGAATTACGAGGCAGGATTCCTAGAGCCTTCACTAAACCGGGATATACGTGCAGGGCCATTAAAGCACGGGCTATTAGAATACACCTTAAGAAAAGGTTGTGTGCGGGTCTGATGTCTGAGATAGAGTTCAAGACAATAGTGTCACTCTTGTTGAATCAGAATCCTACTTGCTACGCAAAGGTTCAAGTCGTAAACACCTTTGCTTATGCACAATCTTAGAAACGTTTGACGTACTTCTAAAAATCACCTTTTAAATTCAAGTGGGGGATTGTTGGAAATCTTGGTATGATGTAAACTTGGAGTGGGAGTTGGAATAATTTATTGACATTAAATGGGTAATAAATGAGCACAAGTAAGAACTAGCATGGAAGTGAATTTGAAAAGATTCATTTTAGCCCCGAAAGAGTGGAAATTAATTAATATTAATATTATTATTAATTAATTAATAGATGGTGATGTGTCATGCACAAAAGACCAAGTCTTAACCTAATTATTGACTGGTTTTTGCTTGCCCTCCAAAAGACCAAGTCTTAACCTAATTATTCACTGGTTATTGACTGGGCCAATTCCACCTCTCCCACGATCTTCTCCCACTAGACCTGTTCCATTCAGTTGGACCTTTTCACTTATAAATTAAGTTGTTTCGGTTCATTTGGGCAGTTCCAGAATTTACTTCTACAATTCTTCTCTCTTCTCTCTCATCACTCACTTCATCTATAATTTTCTTCTCTCTTATTTTCGACTGGATCACTTCGTATCCAGATACTAAGACTGGTTAATTACCATCCGAAGGTGTCATTTTACGAACGACTAATTATAGTGCAAGTAATTGTCGTAATTGAACGGGCTGTTTTATCCTGGAGGCGTCGTCGAAACTCGACTGCTTTGCATTAATATTGGCAGTACGACGAAACGTCTTAAAGAAAGCGACCTAGTACGCGACTCGTCCCAATACTTTTCCTTTGTGCCATCTTTTAAAAATCCGGTTTCTACAGAAATAGATTGTTATGTAACGGAATTTAGATAAGACATATTTTATTTTAAGTTCCAACTGCTACAGCTCTCTTTCATCTTTCTTTTTTAAATTGTAGTTAGTAAAGCTTAGAGGCTCAACTTAATTAACATAAAAGCCTAAAGCATTATATGTTTATAGTTCACTCAGTATGAAACAAGTGTGGGAGATTAAAGATTGTTTCATTTAAATTTTTATTGAACTTCTTATTAATTATGGTCATGATGTATTATTATGGTTCTTGAATGAGCTTATCTTTAACATTTGGCTTCTGATTAATGATATGTGTTCAAAAAAGTTTGAATGATTAATATCTCACACTTTGATGTGTTCAGTATGAGTGCAACATTTGTGAAATTGATTTTTCATTTCAACTTTGAATCATAAAATGAGATATTGAGAGTGCAACTTATGCTTCAATCTCTCTATGATGCAGGCGTGACAATAGTATTCTTTTGATTTTGTTATGAAATATCAGTGGTCAAATATAGCTAAATGATAATTTTCCTGGTGATTATGACTCTTATTAAAAATGATGCAAATTTCATTCTTTTCTGTTTTTAATTAAGAGTGTATATTTGAGATTTTTTTTGGAATAACCAGGTATTAAAAAAAATCGCAAATAACCATGTTTCGGAGAAAATTACGCAAATAACCATGTTTCAGAAAACCCCACAAGGGAGGAGCCAACCCAGTTGGCGCATCCACTCTCCATTTAGCCCTTGGCGCCTCCTTTCTCTTTTAGCCAAGTGAGATGACACATGCACTTTAAAAGTGAGAGGACGCGTTATCTCACTTGGCTCTTAGGGAAAAATGCAATTTTTATAAATAATTCGTCTGTTTCTCCGTCATTCCTCACACTTTCTCGCACTGTTCTCTTTTTTTTCTCTGTTATTTGCGTCATGACATCACCCATGATTTTTACTAGAGATGGTTATGTTATTTTCTCCGCCACAAAACCTCCGATGAAAATGAAATTCTGGCACATTCACTCCATGGAGCGTCTGAAGAGGGAGTTGATGCGATGACTAGAGGGAGACATCGAGGAGGGGAACAAATTAGAAGGATCCAACGAAGATGAACAACAACCTCACTTGCGACAGGAAGACACACGTGTTACATGCATGCAGAGATGTCTTCTCCAAGGCTGTCACCTAGCCTGCACCTACACTGCAACCCATGTCACCTCTTATTCGCCAACAGGGATGGTGACACCTTTCATTTTTGTACTCTTTCACTAAGTTCAATGGCGCCTCCCTTCACGTCCAATCGTGTTACATGCATGCAGATATGCCTTCTCCAAGGCTGTCACATAGCCTGCATCTACACTACAACCCATGCCACCTCTTATTCGCCAACAGGGATGGAGACACCTTTCATTTTTGTACTCTTTCGCCAAGTCCAATGACGCCTCCCTTCACGTCCAATCGTGTTACATGCATGCAAAGATGCCTTCCCCAACGCTGCCACATAGCTTGCACCTACACTACAAGAGTGACAATTATCATGCATGCATGCACCCACCTACCACCTCACTTACTCTATGATAAAATTTTACCTATAAATACAGAGCCTCACATACTTCTATTGCATCCACAATCGTCTCACTCCCTGCTACAAACTCTTTCATAATCTCATACAATTTCAAACTTTTTCATAATCTCAGACAATTTCAACAATGGCTCTTCTCACAATGGGCGATTCTCACAGAGGCACAAGGAACAACATTGCAGCGTTTGTAAGTTTCTTGTATACTTATACATTTTTCATACTTCTATTAATGCTTTATTCATCTTACCTGCTCTTACACTTTTTACATTCTTAACTTAGGATACTAAAAGATTCAGAATTCGGTCACACAACTACCTTGCTCCCGACCCGTTGATCATACCCTATCTCGAGTACGCAGGTTTCAGAAACGTTATAAAGATCTCCAACTGTACGATTGATTCAAAGTTCATACTTGCAATGTTGGAAAGATGGAGACCAGAGACCCATACATTTCATCTACCAATAGGTGAATGTACTGTCACACTAAAGGACGCGTACATGTTATTGGGTCTCCCTATCGACGGTAAGGCGGTTAACGGGTCGGTTCAAAAACTCAATTCTCCGTGTGAAGAATTGTTGGGCAGGGATATGGTTAAAGGTGGTGGTGCGAGAGGTCAGGGTATACTACTTACTAAGCTAAAAAATCATTATGCGACTCTGAAATTGAACGGAAATTCCTCCGAGCTAGCTAAGGTAATAAAAGCTAAAAATTATATAATGATACTATTTGGAACCTTTTTAATTCCCGAAAGTATGGGAAATAGTGTAAATTTTATGTATTTAAATTTACTTAGAGACTTCGAAAAAACTAGAAAGTATAGTTGGGGTTCTGCTGTTTTAGCCTATCTATACAGTTCCTTGTGTAAAAATGCAATCAAGGAAAAATGTACATTTTATGGTTGCGCTTTTTTACTTCAAGCCTGGGGTTGGTGGAGAATGGAGTCCCTAAACCCCGTCAAGAACAACACATTCGTTTTCCCATACGCAACAAAGTAAGTCATCAACTTATATCATTTATTATTATTCATCTCTTCACCAAATATATGATAAAAATAAAATATTTTTCAATTCCTTTAGGTACTGCGTGAGGGGTATGGATTACGGTAAGAATCCAAGATTCAATGTCACTCTATACCGCAATCTATTGGATCACCTTGGCCCGGATGATGTACGTCATACCTTTCAACTTTTCTACTTTTAAATTATTTATTTATTACGTTTTCATTAAGCTGATTTAATTTTATCCGCAGTTTGTTTGGAGACCATATTTGGGTCTGGACCATGAATCAAACCCCGAGGATGCAATAATTTGGAGTGCAAAGACTGCAATCATACAGTTCAATGTTGTGGAGATGCACCACAGCGACTGTGTCAAGATGCAGTTTGGAATGCATCAAGAGATACCCTACGATCCGACTTGTTTGTCCCCGTGGCATCTCAAAAGGGTCGACGCCCAATGGGGTCTTACCAACTGAAAAGATTTTACTCCATAATGGTGTAAGATGTGGCAGAGGCGTCACCGACATGTCTTGCAATTCCCAGTTTTCCTCAACCATGGTAATATGTGACACACTAATCAGTATTTAGCTTGGTACATATCGATTAGTACCCCAGAAATGCACGTGTCTCATCCAAGGTATTTGGTTGATCCACGAACACAATGGGCACAACCCTCATTTCCCCAACAACAAACCTAACACACATCAACCTCCCACCAACCCCCCGACGAAACAGAATCACAAACACCCAACCACAATACAATTACACCCACATGCCCCACAACCAACCACAATCACCACCCCAGTACCAATACCCCCATATGCCTCACACCCAACCATAATTTCAATCACAATACTAATACACCCGCATACCCCACACACAATTCCAGTTTTCTACATATCCCAATATGGGCCCCTCAACATCCAACCTTAGCCCTGATCTGGGATTGTCCGAAGATTATGAACCAACTGACCCAACTTACCATCAACCACAACATCACCAAAGCACTCAACATTCCCAATACTAAACACCCCAAGATCCATTTCCTTGCTACCCCCCATACACAGACGACCAGTGCTACAGACCAACCATGGAACCCCACCCACCACCAACACGACCAAACTTTGAGGGTATGTGCAACCGAATATACCAAAGCGGATCTTCTAGATATGGAGATCTGACCGATTTCATAGATCCGGAACGCATTGACTTCGTTGGGCCATCGACCCTGCCACAACAGGAAACACGACAAAACTCAGCACGGGAAAAGCGATGACGGGGATGCGGAACCGGGGGTCATTACTGGGTTTCGGGGGACCACTGATTAATCTGTATTTTTTATGTAATCGTTATATGTGTAATCATATTGTGTAAATAAAAAGTCAATTTTCTTAATCCTATATCGTTTACGTAACGTACCACATTTAAAATAAAAAACGCAAAAAACTGTCTGCCTTTTGCACTAAGGCGCCATCTCACTTGGCTTAAGGCAAACCTTTTACACATAGGCGCCAAGTGAGATGACGCCTCCCATTTAAATTAAGGTGCATGCGCCAACTGGGTTGACTCCTCTCTTGTGGGGTTTTCTGAAACATGATTATTTGCGTAATTTTCTCCGAAACATGATTATTTGCGATTTTTTTTAATACCTAATTATTCCAAAAAAAATTCTATATTTAAATTATTTGTTCGATTATGATATTTTTTTCTTTCATTTAATTTTTATTATATTTTAGAAATAAATGCGCGTCTCATTCCAATACGCGTACAAATACGCAGATATCCCACTGATTAAAATACTAAAACATATTGAAAATGAATACTATTTATCATTTTACTTTTAACATTAATAATTATGTTAAAATAATATAATTTTTTATACGATATATAAAAAACTCATAAAAAATATACACGTTAGCAGTAAAAAAGCGGACAAATTAGTCGGAACGGTAGTTATAGATAACATTAATAAAAAAAACCGTGCGTTGCATCCGGTAAATCGCGTATAAATTCCGTCAAAAGAAATACATAAACCTGCTTCCTCGCTGCTAAGTCCGCGGCACCAGTTTGTTTGATTTCTCCGCCGTCGTAAGTTCTCTCCTTCAATTCATCTCTTTCTGTCTTTATTCTTATTTTACAAACCCTCATGTTTCATCCAATTCGTCGTTTCAAACCCTAGAATAAACTCTTTACGCACCGTGATTCTTCGTATTACATCAATTTTTGCCTTCAATTCGTGCTGAATATGGTTGCTGATTTTTAATTGATATTTGTTCATGCTTTTATTTCAGATGGTAGCTAAACCACTTATCACCGAGCTTGTTGCTCTTACAGAGAAGAAGATGGACATGACACTAGGTATGTTTTTTTTTTTTGTTATATCACATTGATCATAACCTTTTTGTATACCATCCTTTTTATTGTTTTTGATATATTTAATGTTGGTGTTGTTCACAGATGACATAATCAAAATGTCTAAAAACCCTAAGTTTACAACAAAGCAATCTAGGGTTTCGGTAAGTGTTTTTGCTTTTGAATATTTCTTTGCTTATTTGTTTGTTCATGGTACTTCATAGTTATTGTTTTGCTTGATTGATTCATATTAATGTCTATGCAGAACAAGAGCAAAAAATTTACAAACAGTTTTGCACAAGATAGATCTTTTAAGGCGCGCCGGTACATGGAGTCAAGATCTTCTCTTAGACAAGTATGTGTATGAAGCACCACAGTCATATTATGTTTTCATTTTTGTACATATTTCCGATATTAACTCGTTCAGTTGCGGTTCTTAGGGAGTTCTTGCAAAAAGAAGGTCAAATTTCCAGGGAAACCAATTTCCCCTTGCAACTGAGGTTGCGCGTAGGGTTGTTGCTGCTCCTCTGCACTATGGAGGTGCTAACCGAAATAAGATGGCTAACTGGAATAAACCAAGGTATTATGTTTTTCTTTGATTGCTATGTGCACACATGTTATGCATCAGAACATGAGAGAAATTTGAGGCTGAATATGTTAACTTTTGAGTGACGTGGTTGAGAGCTGTGGCTAACTTTATTTGTAAATCGATGCATCATTGCAGGTAACCCATGGTCCATTTGTGATTTTGATGACATCATAAACATGTCTCCCATTTATAAGATATTTTTCCTTTGCAAATGGAGTTGGTTTGATATTTTGAATGAGTTGAGAGGCAGACACGTGTTTATGGAATTCTGAAATGCTTGCATTATATCATAGTAACAATATCCTGAATACTTCATGGTTCGAGTGGATTGATGTTTGATGTGCTACGGAATATGGATGTTCTCCTAAATAAGTGGAGTTATGTTGTTTGAGCAGACTGGTGATGTGAAGGGATATTACTAGTTAGAGGACACCAGTTTTGCCAGAAACATGTTGCTAGGAACGATGACTTAAGATTGTTCTTCCTAATGTATCTATAAAACCATTTAAGGGCGATTATAATTCTGAGTTGAGGGGGCCCAATACAACATCATCTACCCGACGTTAAAAAAAAATTACGACACCAACTTTAGTATGACAAAAATGTAGTTGTAGAACTTGGAGGGGTCACAATAATTTCATTCTACATTATTAAGTGAAGTTTAAGACTTTGGAGGGACATGCCACTCTATTGTGCCCCTAGCTCTGTCCTTTTGTTCCCATTAGACAAGCACAAAAGGCAGGGCAGTATTGTTACTCTTATTAATGGCTGGTCTGTATTGAGAAACAGCTCTGCAGCATTTCAGTTTGTTTGGCAGGGCTGCAACAAACTAAGAACCTCTTATCATGACTTTCAGTTCAAAGGCACAAGCTCATGTTATTATCATTACATATGTATATGCACCTTATTTCCTCATTATGAGTTGCAAGGTCACGCCTCTTGCTGGTCATCTATTTTCAATGAACTTTGTCAACTTCAACACCACGTTGGTTATAGATACCTGATGTTTTAGTTAGTTGAGTAAATGCTGCTAGATGTGTTCAGTGGTCAGAAAGTTTGGGATGGTGCACCTACTTCTTGCTACTATAATATTTCATGTTGTCTGGTTCTTGTTTCTTTTTGCAACTACTAATAGAAGCAATGTCTGTTCATTACGTGATAAGAAAATAAAGTCCTAGAGTCACTGTTTTGGATTTATCTGTGGGGAAAGTTTGTGATTGGCAATCAGGCATTTAAGGTTGTGTATTTCCGTGTCTGGTAAGCACTGTGATGGGAAGAGGATGCTCTTTAAACATTTGTTTATATCTAAGCTCTTTTTAGAACTTAACCAAGGTGTGTATATGGTGTGTGTTGGTAGGGAAACAGTATCCTAGTTACCAAGCTAGATATTTGTTGCTACATTAAAGCAAATATGATTTTCATGAAGTCATCTTGGAAGCCTCAAGGTCTTTTCAATTGGTCTACTTGGATTACAACCTCCATGGTATTAAAATTAATATGGCCTGTAGTGAGCTTTGAACAAGTTGTTGGGCACTGCTAGCACAAACTCCTGATCATGCTGCAGACGGGAGATTTCTTGGGAAATTTTAAAGTTGATCTTCAAATATGCAACCTTTGTTGTTAGATTATCTCTTCTTTCTTTTTAGATGAAATATATAGAATAAGAGCATCAGCATTTTAGCAAGTGATATGTTTGTATACTTTTCTGCTACCGAGCATGTCAGATGCTAATCAATGCCCTTGAGGAATATCTGGAATATTTATCATGTTTCTGCTACTCAATTATTCAATATTCTTTCTGGCTGCAGGTTCCAGGTTCCTGTGAATCAGAGAAGAGCTGCTAGTGGAGGTTTTGCTGCTAAGGTGAGGCATTTTTCTTCTCATGTCCCTGTCTGTGTTCTCGCTCTGTATATTGCATTTTATTATTAAATATTTGAAAGTTGAATATGTTTTTAATTCCTATAAAAACACTATTTCTAGTTTAGTTCCTAGAAAAATCTATTAAAATTATTCATTTTAGCCTCAGCCTTACAAAAACTGGGAATGTGTTTTGAAGGATTAGCAAAGTGATCATTCACTCTTATGGTGATTAGGTTGAACTTAGTATCATCAAACACTAGAAAAGAAATAGTCTTGGAGCTGAATGAAAGTGTCTTCTTTTTATTTTTTAACATGGTTCCGTATAACATTCAGTCGTAAGATTAAGATTTATTCTGTCTGATATGGATTAATAGAGCCCCTTAAGGAAGGGCTTCATTGATATGCAAACCTTATTTATTTTTATTTTTTTTGAATTTGTATTTGTATGTCGCAGCCACTACCTCAACATCATTATCAGCAGCAGCAACAACATCAACATCAATATCAGCAGCAGGATGTCAACATAAAGCCTAATAATCAAAGGCCTCATACATTGGATTCTCTGTTTGCTAATATGAAGGAGCAAAGAATGAAAGCTTTCTCAAGGCAGAACAATGCTGTGCAGCACAATGGAGCTGGTAACGGGAGGCCTCCTTGGGGAAGAGGCCAATATGGCAACTGACAAGATGGTCTAATTGATAGCTTCACAGTCAGTCACTTTCAGTATAGTAGTATGCCTTGGCTGCCAGATTTCCATTCCTAGCATGCTACTTGTATCATTCAAACTCAGTATTACTTTTTATTCATTTGGCTATGATTGTACAGTTCACCTTTTCTTGTGTGGCATTTGCTTCGACTCTGATTAATGTTTGTAGTCTAGGTTGTATGCTGCAATGTGGAATTCATACCGTTAGGTATATTGACTGTCCGAATTGGAACGTTCACATTTATCGACAGGTTTTGATACGCCAATGCAAAAATCCACATACCTTTGATATGGTTAATGGCTTTATCATTTTAATTGTTGTTTTAAAAGAAAAATTAAATCAGTTATTATCTATTTATTAAAAATCAATCGCATAAACTCTCTAAATGATCATTTCATTATAAATTATTTATACTAAGAAATTAATGTTTAAGTAATCAAGTATTAACCTTTTGATTATCATTTTCTATTATAGTATGTCATGTGTTCAATAACACTCATTCTCTCATTTAAAATATCTCTCTCCTCTCTCTCTCTCTCCTCTCTCTCTTCTCTCTCTCTCTCTCAATAATTTATTTTATTATTTTAATCAAATTAACAATTTATTAAATATTATCTTTAATTTAAAAGACAAAACTCTTATTTTTAAATTTAATTTTTTCTCTGTATTTCAGTTTCTTTTTTTTTTCTTTTGTATTATTATTTAATATAATTAAATTTATATAATTATTAATTTTACAATTAAGTAACTCATTTTAAATTTACTTCTCTATACATTTTATATTGTATCAATTAAACTTGTTATGCATTAAGAGACAGGAGCAGGTCAACAATCATAGGTATCATTTCAAGTTTAAAAATGGTATTGTCAAAATGGAAGGGTTCCATAAAACTGTGGAAAAGAACTGGAAGCAGAATATTAAAGGTAAACCAATGTATGTTTTGTGGCAGAAGCTTAAAAGACTTAAGCCCATCATCAAAGAGTTTAAACTTCTCCGTGGAATCCATAGTAAAGTGGAGAGTGCTAGGAAGGAGCTGCTTGAATCCCAAATGCAACTTACTAATGACAGAATGAACAAGGAAAAAATTGAAAAGGTGAAAAGGTGAAAAGCTGGATTGGACATGTGCTCAAATGGACTGAGATTGAAGACATGGACTTGAGGGAAAAAAGCTAAGATTGATTTGCTCAAATTAGGTTATGGAAATAATGCCTATTTCCATGCACCTATCAAAACCAAAAAGAAACATAACTGCAAAAGGAGTATTACTAAGGAGGATGGTAATACTGTGTTTGATCATGATCAGATAGAGCAAGAGGTTATACAGTTTTATGGTTCTCTGATGGGGAAAGTAGAGGAGAGATTGGAGGGAGTTAGCTGTGTAGTCATGAGGGAAGGGGCTCAATTGACCCAAGAGAAAAGAGATTACATAATTCAACCTGTTACCAATAAGGAAATTAGGCCCTTAAAGGTATTGGTGATAACAAAACTCATGTCATTGATGGGTATGAAGATAGCTTTTTCAAAAACACTTGGAGCATAGTTGGTTCAGATGTGTGTGAAGCCGTCAAGGATTTTTCCAGTCAAAGAAGATTGCACAAAGGGTTTAACTATATTGTGGTTGCTTTGATCCCTAAGAGTGTCGAGGCTAAAGCTATTAAGGAATACATACAGTTGTGTTGTTAGAAGAGAGAAATGAGAGATGGATTAGAGAGAGAGAAAAGAAAATTACGGGAATGATTTGTAAAACAAGTATAATGGCTTCAATAATCCAGTATGCATAATTCCATGGTCGATACCATGCACCCTCAATCATAACTGCATGATCAATATCAAGCGTTCCAGATACATACATCCATCGTTTACAATTCATTCGTTCGCAGGGAGTCCAAGCAGACTCCTCAACACCCTTTGGGCCAGGCCCAGTCACTAAACCCACCCCCTTATTTTGTTGTTTTTCTAACCTAAGCAAACTCACACCCCCACCAGCCTAATAGGCCAAGTCCAACATCTGGAATTTGACTCTTACTCCCTACACGCCTCACTTTTACTACGCATTTCAAATTTATACCCAACATCTGAATTCAGGGTCCTACTACCTATACTCTCCTATTTTACTAGCCCAACACAATATACACCCCCTGCATTTTTATTAAAATTATTTTTATTTCTTTTATTATTTATAATTGTTATTTTTTATATTTTAATATATTTATAAATTTTAATATTATTTTATTATTATTATAAAATCAAATATTTATTTTTCAACTCATCCAAATATTTATTTATCTCATTAAAATTATTTTTAATCATGCATTAATAATATGTTTTTATATATTAATACATTAAAAAAAACACTTTAACAACACTAAACTCTTTTTATCAAATTAATTAAATCTAAATCAATTTTCAAAAAGGATAAAGAAAATATTTTAGTCGACTGCGAACTTCATCTAACAACTCCGCTATTCACACACCCAGATTTAGTACAAGGGAAATTCAAAGATCTTCGTAATCCATAAAAAAACACCAACCAACTGCGAACTACAAATTGAGACTCTGATTCCGTCTAAGAGGATACGTAGGCATACAAATAAAATTGTGGCGAGTTCCCTTAATAAAAAATTAAAACCCTATTTTCTAAAGATTGCGTTTCTAAACCCTAGTATCATTGTGAACAAGGTAGATGAGGGATGTCTAACACCTTCCTTTCGTCTAAGAACGAGTTCAACAACTTAGAATCTCAGACCAAATTAGGGTTGTCCTTTATATTCTCTTCTTAAAGATAAAAATTAAGGGTGACGACTCTCAATTTAAAACCGGTTATAACATATGCATCACCCGACGAGATAAAAGCCTCGCCCGACGACGACCCTTAAATACAAGGCCCAAGTTGTTCCACGTATGCAACTAGTAAAAAATATCTTCCCTCGCCTGGCGACATCCTTATCTCTCACCCAGCGAGCTGCTGGCGAGTCCAAGTCAGTAACTATTGGAAAAATGATTCAGTACTCTCGCCACTCTGTCACCCGACGAGGCAGACACGAAGGCTCCTCGTCCAGGCTTCACCCGACGAGACACACCAGAACAACGACTTTTGTTGCATCTTCTGATAACTCCAATGGATCTCTCATCTTGGCCTTATTCCTTTATTGATCAAATAATGCATCTTGGAGCTTTTATTCCTCTTGCTCCAACCATGCTCAGATACCTACAAAATGAATACAAAACTATTAAACGATACACTTTATACACAAAAACGCATTATACACAAACTAAATATATTTATACAAAGAGTTAGTTTATTCAACCGATATTAACAATAAAGAGTCGATAAGTGCAACAAAAAGTATATAAAAAATAACTATAATTTTCACTTATCAAACACTTCCCAACTTGAACTTGTTTGTCCTCAAACAAGAAACAAACAACTCAAAGAAACAAAAACGATCAACCAAAGAATCACGAATCGATAAGTTTTGAAAATGGAAAACAAATGCAATGGTTCAAATTAAAAACAATACACACAAAGTAAACACTTACCACTAAACTACGACTATAACATAAACACGAAACAAATGATAAATACAAAAATCATGTTAAACATTCTAAAACAACACTAGTTCACAAATAAATCACACCTAGCAAAAATAAATCATCGGTAGATGACAAACACACAAAAATGAGGTATTTTCACTCATCCACAATCTTGCAAATAATAGACTTAATTACACACTCATCCAAAAATCATGTTGAAGACATAAAAACAAGAATCACAAGAGATTTTCAAGATTGTAATGTGGCTTGGTTAACAAACAAGGGATAAGCCCTAAAGCTAATGGAAACAAAAACTTGCCTTAACCTAAAGGAGTGATCAACTCACAAAGACTCAAACAACAAAATTTTAATCAAACTTCTTCTTCATTCCAAATTTCTCAAATCAATCACAATACTTATTTGCACAATTAGTTGAACTCTTTTTTTTTTTTTTCTTTTTCAAAGTTTTTTTTTTCTTTTCTTTTTTTTCTTTCTCTTTTCACAACCTCATAGCAATCACAACATAAGCACATAAATATTCCTCTCCCCAACTTGAATTCAACCATCATCATAATATGAATACTCCATACTTTCTAAGAAAAGGCAAAAATTCAAACTATAAATCATAGTTGAGGTTTCAAGAAAACAAAGAATCAATATCCATACAAAAAGGAAAATCAACACTCATAGGCAAGCATTAGGTTTAAAAACAACACGAACATGGACAAAAAGGCTCAAAAGGGGATACTAATGATGACACACTCACAAGATGAAATGACTATTTGGCTAGGTAGTTGTGCTCAAAATGAAACAAAATACCTTGATCACTTTCATGCTTCCATAAAATCAACACAAAATAAAAGATTAATCATAATAAAATCCAGTTAAAACAAGAATTGTAGACTCCAGCATATGTGAACAATTGAAAGCTACCTCACAAAAAGGGTAGGAACTAAAGTAATTCACAAATGAAAAAGTATACAAAAGAATGAATGGCATAAAAATTGTAAAAAGTATAAGTATCATGAATATGCTAAAGTATATAAAACGATAAACACATACCTCAAACGTGTACAAAACCTTAACAAAATCATTACCACGCATTCGCAAGTCGAAACGATCAAACTTGACAAATCACCTCAATATCCTCAAGATATTCACAAGAAACTCAAATACAAACACAAAAATGAACACAAATAATATACACATACTAAAAGACCGAATGAAATTGTCTAAACAAATTTAAAAGTGAAGATATGAAATTTAAGAACTAGTCCGAGTTAAATTTTTTTAGACAATTGTATTCAACTACCTAAACTAACAAAAATGAAAAACAATAAAATATGCTTGCTTTACGTTGTAAGCTTGACGCCTGTTATTTAAGAAAGTTCCTTCAAGTTTCTTCCACCCGGTTATTTCTAACCAACACACAAGCAAACA